GCCCCCCCCTCCTGCTTGTATGGATACCCCATACATCTGAGTCTGCCTGCCCGCCCCACTCCTGCTTGTATGGATACCCCATACATCTGAGCCTGCTCTTCCCCCCCCCCCCCCCACTTGTATGAATACCCCATACATCTGAGTCTGCCTGCCCCCCCCCCGCATATATGGATACCCCATACATCTGAGCCTGCCCCCCCCCCTCCTGCTTGTATGGATACCCCATACATCTGAGTCTGCCTGCCCCCCCCCCGCATGTATGGATACCCCATACATCTGAGCCTGCCCCCCCCCCGCATGTATGGATACCCCATACATCTGAGCCTGCCCCCCCCCCTGCTTGTATGGATACCCCACACATCTTAGCCTGCCCCCCCCCCCCTCGCTTGTATGGATACCCCATACATCTTAGCCTGCCCCCCCCCCCCTCGCTTGTATGGATACCCCATACATCTGAGCCTGCCCCCCCCCTCGCTTGTATGGATACCCCATACATCTGAGCCTGCCCCCCCCCCTGCTTGTATGGATACCCCATACATCTTAGCCTGCCCCCCCTCGCTTGTATGGATACCCCATACATCTTAGCCTGCCCCCCCCTCGCTTGTATGGATACCCCATACATCTGAGCCTGCCCCTCGATTGTATGGATACCCCATACATCTGAGCCTGCCCCGGGGGTCGGGGGTGGGGACTAGACCGTACAACTAACATCCCAGCTAGCCCATGATTTCACCATCAGTGAGATGCCTCACGCTCTGACTGTCTTTAGAAACCCATCTGTTTTGGTGTAACATGAGCTTGGGGAGGGGGGGTCGGAGTTTCTGGTGTATCTATATGTTATTTGCTAGACATGGGGGGGGGTCGGTGTTTCTGGTGTATCTATATGTTATTGGCTAGACATGGAAGGTCGGTGTTTCTGGTGTATCTATATGTTATTTGCTAGACATGGGGGGGGTCGGTGTTTCTGGTGTATCTATATGTTATTTGCTAGACATTGGGAGGGGGGGTCGGTGTTTCTGGTGTATCTATATGTTATTGGCTAGACATTGGGGGGGTCGGTGTTTCTGGTGTATCTATATGTTATTTGCTAGACATTGGGGGGGTCGGTGTTTCTGGTGTACATATACGGTATTGGCTAAAGATGGGGGGTCGGTGTTTCTGGTGTATCTATATGTTATTGGCTGGACATTGGGGGGGTCGGTGTTTCTGGTGTATCTATATGTTATTTGCTAGACATTGGGGGGGTCGGTGTTTCTGGTGTATCTATATGTTATTGGCTAGACATTGGGGGGGGGGGGTCGGTGTTTCTGGTGTATCTATATGTTATTTGCTAGACATTGGGGGGGGGGGTCGGTGTTTCTGGTGTACATATACGGTATTGGCTAAAGATGGGGGGTCGGTGTTTCTGGTGTATCTATATGTTATTGGCTAGACATTGGGGGGGGGTCGGTGTTTCTGGTGTATCTATATATTATGTGCTAGACATTGGGGGGGGGGGGGGGGTCGGTGTTTCTGTTGTACATATATGTTATTTGCTAGACATTGGGGGGGTCGGAGTTTCTGGTGTATCTATATGTTATTGGCTAGACATTGGGGGGTCGGTGTTTCTGATGTATCTATATGTTATTGGCGAGACATTGGGGGTCGGTGTTTCTGATGAGCATATATGTTATTGGCTAGACATTGAGGGGGGTTGGAGTTTCTGGTGTACATATACGGTATTTTCTAAAGATGGGGGGGGGGTGGAGTTTCTGGTGTAAATACATAATACAATGTCGACTTTAGATGGGGGTCAAGTTTCTGTTGCACAAAACAAATACGGTGTTGGCTAGAGATATTGGGTCATAATTTCTGATGGGGTAGAAGTTTCTGGTGTAAATACGTACACGATGTTGTAGAGACGGGTCAAGTTTCTGATGCACAAATACCGTGTTGGCTAGAGATATTAGATCATAATTTCTGATGGGGTAGAAGTTTCTGGTGTAAATACATAATACAATGTTGACTTTAGAGGGGGTCAAGTTTCTGTTGCACAAAACAAATACGGTGTTGGCTAAAGATGGGGGGTCGTAAATACATAATACAGTGTTGACTTTAGAGGGGGTCAAGTTTCTGTTGCACAAAACAAATACGGTGTTGGCAAGAGATATTGGGTCATAATTTCTGATGGGGTAAGGGTAGAAGTTTCTGGTGTAAACATGTATACGATGTTGTCGAGACGGGGTCAAGTTTCTGATGTTATTATACGGTATTGGCTAGAGTTGGGGGCGGGGACGAAATTTATGGTGCATACATCGTATTGCCTACAGTTGGAGGACCGAGTTTCTGATATACATGCATGATGATGGCGGTTCTTTGGCTAGAAAAGACGTTAAGCGAAATCAATACAAAACAGAATCAATGTGGTATTTCGGTTTAACATGTTTATTGTGTCATATTTGTTTTGTCAGTGGCCATAAGAAACAAATTAGGGCACGGTGTGGTCGAGTTATAGAGCCCACGTCAATCACCCGAAAGGTCGAGTTATAGAGCCCACGTCAATCACCCGAAAGGTCGAGTTATAGAGCCCACGTCAATCACCCGAAAGGTCGAGTTATAGAGCCCACGTCAATCAACCGAATGGTAGACGTCTTTGTTACAGCCATCAGAGCAATAACAATCTACAAAATCTAGCTAATCAGAGTCTATCATCTAACAAATCTAGCCAATCAGAGACAATCATCTAGCAAATCTAGCCAATCAGAGACTGCCAACATTTAAACAATTAGAATCTCTCATCTATTATAACAAATCCAAATATCTCTTTTAACTCATCCTGCCAATCAAAGCCTGCGTTATATTTTTACTTTAACAAACCAGACCTCTACACCCAAGATATCCAACAATCTTAGTATATTTGATTAAATTAAATCCTACAGACCCTCAAATCAGATTGTCCGTGTCTCAAAAATTCTGGGGATAACGCTATTTTTTTCTGAGAGTTGAAATAGGGCTAAAACTTTGTTTACTTAAACCAAAATCCTTTTGAGGAATCGTGTCTTCAGTTAACTACAAGATATTTGCTGCGACCAATCGAATTTTCCGGTATCCCGGTTTTATTCCCGTCAAGAGAATCGCCGAGAGGTTGATAAAATTTTCAGGACAAAAATTGTATCAATAAAATAATTTGCAGCGCTGGTGGTGGAAGTCAAACAAAGTGAAAATCAATTTAACATCGTTTTTTTTTTTTTTTTTTTTTTTTTTTGAGATAGAAAATTCGTTTTAAATGTAGAATTTGTGGAAGGGCGACAAATCTATCCCGGTGTTACTTTATTTGTACTTTACAGTATCCCGACCTAGAGTACCGCGATAATTGAATTTTTTTCCGCGAAGTAGGAACGCTATATTTTAGTAGTTATACGTTTGTTAAACCAGCCTGTGTGCGTAGTTGTGGGAGAAGGTCCAGCGCACTGCTGCTAACAACGACAGCCCCAAGTTTGGATCTACGGGCTCCGGTACGTAGGACGTGCCTGAGTCCACTCAGCTTTGATGGGTACCTGGCTCACTTTTGGGAAAGTAAAGGCGGGTGGCCATTGTGCTGACTAAATTATCCATTAATATACCGAGGTCACAGAATCAAGTGAACTCTACTTCATCTGCCCAACGTATGACCAGGGCACTTTACTTTTACTTTTTAAGTTATACGTCTTTATATTCTTTAAAATAACCGTATTGTGTTTTTATGTCAGAATTTGTATTTTCGATTTATTTTTATACATTTAGTGGAATTCGCAAATGCAAACTTCTTCAAATCTGCGCATTACTATTTACGCACATGCAAAAATACTCCTGACGGAATTCCACAAAAATGTATGAAACAGCCGCGATACAAATTTTTCATTATTTCTAGAAAAACTCCCAAACAGCTTTTCCACGACAAACGAACCACACAAAAGCTGTGGAGGGGTGGGGTGGGGGGGCAACTTTTACAGGAAAACAAATAAATAAAAAAGTAAATAAAAAGATAATATTTCGCGCTCATTTATATTTTAATATTGGCACAACTCAAGCTTTTGATATTGGTAGTTGATTAAGGGCACATTGAGAAAAATGACAACAAGAAATGTTAGCAGATTTGATTTTTTTCTTGTTTGACGCATGCGCGTGGAGACCGTTTCCTGCCCTTGAGTTTGTTCTACAGAAAGAAACCGCTTTGCCTGTCTCGCGAGACAGCTGGCTAAAACGCGAGACGTTTAACGTGTCAATGCGATGATGACGCGGGCAAACGTGCCGCACCAGCTTATCCTGTAGTTAAGGGACGTTTGTAATCTTGGTCAATAGGGGGTCGGGGTTATTACATGCAACGTGTTAGATGGCGATGTAAAGCTGAAGAATCAATAGGGTTGGTTTAGAGATTAGTTTAGAGTGCAAGAACGAGATCAATGTGAAGAGGAGGTGGAGATTTTGGAGTAGAGAAATTGATGTTTTAAAGATTGATTGTAAAATGCAAGAACTATATTAAAAAAGGGAAGGAGGACTTCGGTGCAAAGCAGTGGGTGGTTTGGATTTTAATTTTTAAACTGCAAGAACTAGAAAAATCGGAAAATGTAGGAGTATAGCGATTTTGGTTTAGATATTTAGATTTTAAACTGCTAGAACTATTATCGGAGAGTGGTGGGAACTTGTTGAGGTAGAACACGTGCCAAGAAAAATTGACAACTTAAATATGAAAAAAAAAAGATTTTTACCATGAGTTTAACATCATAGGATATTTGCTTCAATAGTTAAAGAAAAGAAATTGTTTAAAAATAACAAATAAATTAATTAATTTTAAAATTTTAAAAAATTTTAAAAATTAAAAAAAAAATTAAAAAAAAAAAAAAAATATATATATATATATATATATATATATATATATATATATATATATATATATATATATATATATATATATATATATATATATATATATATATATATATATATATATATATATATATATATGAAGTCACTGAACTGACCTGTCCACGGCAGTGGCCAGCAAGACGTAAGACGAGGCGTACATTGCGACCACTTGCATATACTTGACGAAAACACACAGGAAACTACCACCCTGGAATCTGTTGACAGAGTTATAATTAATATAACCTCATACATTACTAATCGTGATGTTAGTCTTGAAAGAAAACAGTGGCTTGAGTCGTAAATCAACAAAAAGTGTTTTTTCAGTTAATGCAAAGACTTTATGAAATAAAAGTCGGATGTTAACAAAATAACAAAAATGTTAAATAATATGTGTAAATATTATTTTTTAAAAATTAGTGTAAGACAGGCATACAGATATTGAGATCAAACTAAAAGTTTATAAAAACCAAAGGAGAAAATATACAAGTTATCTCCCTTATAGATAAACACATACATTTAAAGGGACACAATCTTAAATAAATTTACAAAAATATAATTAAAGTACTTCTATAAACCATCTTGGATGTTGTACATAAATGTCGATATTTGTTTTTAAAGAGTGCTTTCTTTAAACCACATCAAAGACACAATTTACATCGAGAAATCGGCCCGCATACTAATAGCCAGGAGAGATCGTCTCTTTGTAAAAAAAACTTTCAAAGAGATCTAAAAAATAAGAAGAGGCATTCAGAGCACGAAAATGTTCTTTCTAATGTGACAAGCAAAAGGCTGTTTTAATTAAAATTTTAAGCCTTTTGTTGTTGTTGTTGTTGTTGTTGTTCATGTTGTACGTTGTTCTATTATTTTTTTTTGCCCTCCTTAGATAGAATTGGGGTTTGTGAATTTTATAAACCAGAGTAGCAGTTTTCTATTGACAGTTTTATTTTGTATTTTAAAATCCTTGAGTTTGGATCGCGATTACAATTATGAAAATAGTAATATAAGAGTAACTTTTGATTTGATGTTACATATATATATATATATATATATATATATATATATATATATATATAGTGTGTGTATGTGAGTGTGTGTGTGTGAAGAGTGTGTGTGTGTGTGACGCTTTGCGTCTTATTATTATATATATATATATATATATATATATATATATATATATATATATATATATATATATATATATATATATATATATATATATATATATATATATATATATATATATATATATATATATATGAATATATATATATATATATATATATATATATATATATATATATATATATATATATATATATGTGTGTGTGTGTTTGTGTGTTTGTGTGTGTGTGTGGGGGGGGTGTATGTGAGTGAGTGTATATGTGTGAATGTGTAAGGGTGTGTGTGCGTCTGTGTTAAGGGTGTGTATTTGTAAGTGCGTTTGTATGCGTATGTTTCTGTAAATGTGTGTATTTGTAAGTGTGTGTGTGTTAAGGGTGGGTGTGTATTTATTAGTGTGTGTGTACGTCTGTGTGTGTCTAGCTGTGTATGTGTCGATGTGTAGGTGTGTCTGTGTGTGTGTTTGTGCGTGAGTGTAGATTTGTGAATTTGTAAGGGTGTGTTTGTGTTAAGGGTGGGTATGTATTTATTAGTGTGTGTATGTACGTCTGTGTGTGTCTAGCTGTGTCGGTGTGTCTGTGTGTACAACACACTTTACCTGTCTGTGATGTCCCAGGCTAACTGTGGCAAGACATTAAAAAAAGCCACAAACAAATCCGCCAACGAGAGGTGGAGAATCATCAGATGCATGCGCGACATCTGCTTCCGTTTGGTCACCAAGGACAACACCACGCATCCGTTTCCGACGATGGCTAAAAATAGAATCGTCGCGCTGACGAACACCTCTACGACTGCGACATCCTCGTCCCGCCCCTCCAGGGTCGTGTTGGTCAGGTTTAAAAACAACTGAGGGGAAGATAGATTGTAGAAGTCCGCGGGGGCAACCATCACGTCTATGTTGCTGTGCGTGATGAAGTTATCAGGCACTGACATGGTTTAGGGTTGCGTCCCTTGGTAGACTAGAGTTCTCGTTCTTGTTTTTTTGTTTGTTTTTTTTTTTTGTTTTTACTCTTTCATTCTTGAGCATAGGCTTGTGTGTTCTGGGGAGGATTAGATGGATTTTAATTAACAGAATCACTGGTACTGGCACGTACAAGGGGAACATGAGGACAAGGCGATAAAGTACATTGAAGTGTACAGACAGACATGTGTACAGACAGTTTGTGTGATGCTGAAACATGCACTATCATATGAGTATACACAAAAATGCAACACTCTTTTACATAAGTTATATACAAAGAAATATAGAAACTTAACAATTTACAGGAATGTACACAAAAATACACACACGTTTATACAAGTCATGAACACAGATGTACAAGAGCATAACCGCATTCAGGAATGTACACGAATCATACAGATACGCACTAATATAGGGAAGTGTACAAATCATACAGACACGTACACTTAGAGGAATGTACACAAATCACACCGACACGTACACACATTGGCATGTGTGTTGACACATTGACACCCACAAGAATGTACAAAGCGACATAAATACAAATATTTACAGAGGCGTAGACATATATTCATATACACAAACATAACGTATACAATATAAGAATTTTACACAAATAAACATAAATAAACATAGGCTCAATCAAAAACGATCAGACACACACACACACACACACATAGGTGTACACACAGGGATACATAGGCAACACAAACACACACACACAGTTATTTACACAGAAATGCTTACACACTCTAATTTAAACCTACATTTTAATCCTATAAATACACACGCATAATGGCAGGGGGGTAATGCCGAGGGGGTAGTTGACAAGTGTTAATATTCCAGAGGGCGTGGTCGGATGGTAGAGACAAGAGTATTCGCGCAAGCATAAACAATATAATTTTCTTAAAGTTCATTAGCAGTCCCGTTGTTCTAATCTTTCTGAAACTGCTAATTACAAATATTGATTACCAAACCTAGGACATAATTTATATTTAATTTATCTTCAACAAAATGCCACCAGTTACTTCTACTTAATTAGTATCTCAGAGATTCTCAAACAACTACCAACAATGCCATCCCAAAATTATCTTAACAGAATGAACTAATGTATATATTTTTTTTGTTAATTTATTATAGTAAAGATAACTCATATACATGGTATGGATTATATTTATAGTTCGGTAGATAAAGCTACCCTTTCGAATTTGGCGATCCATAGGGCCAAATGAAGTATAGTTCACATGTTTTAGTGACCTGAGCGTATGAAGTGACAGTGTGTTCAGCTATACTCAGCCGCTTTTACTTTCCCTCTTGATTAAGGTATACATCAGAGCCAGGTGGATACAAACACGTAATACGGACTCGCACTAGAGATCCGAACTCTAGACTTCAGGTATAACAGTCGTGCGCTCTACCATCCGACCACGCCCTCTGGAATATTAACACTTGTCAACTACCCCCTCGGCATTACCCCCCTGCCATTATCCCAAGATTCCAAGATTAATTTCCCCCCCCCCCCCTCTTATCTTTCTGTATCAAAACTATAGTAGTTCATTACCCCTTAACAACTAACTACAAAATAACATTAAACTTTATCTTAACGCTTACTCTACCCCCGGGAAATGACCTGGGGCGGGTGACGAGGGGGGGGGGAATGTCCTGCTCTCGGCATCTCCAAATTGCAAATACAAATCGTGAGAGAGAAAAAATTATTAATATAAGTTTCATATTCCTACAGCCGATGTATTTGCACAAAGTTCGGCAACATTTAATAACAAGCTATTTTTGTGTTTGTATGTTGGTTTTTTTTTTCAAATAATGTTTGCGCTGTTAAAAATGTTAAAGCAATCTTTCTGTTGTTGTTTAAAAATATCAGCATTTGTTCATTCTCGTACTGTACGATGTAAATCATTCTTCATTTTTGTACGAGCACGAGATAGGATAAGATACATAAATACTTTAAAAGATACATTTGAGTCAAAAAATAGATAAATACAAGTCAAAATTTTAATCTAGTCCGGTTAGTTGTCATGTCCTAATGGATCGATGTTTAAACACAGCTTGAATGGATGAGAGGGTACTTTAAATTTAGACACTGACGCGATGTAGCAGTACTACAACAACATGAATGAGTGATAGGACATGTAAACTTTAAACAGCGCGGTGATGTTGTATTACTTCAACAGCTGGAATGGATGATAGGGTTTATAAAGTTTAAACAGACCGGGGATGTTGTTGTATTACAACAACGTGAATGTACGATAGGGTATATATTCTTTCAGCAGAACGCTGATGCTGTAGTACTACAACAACATGAATGGATGATAGAGTATGTAAACTTCAAAAGACGCGGTGATGTTGTAGTACTACAACAACGTGAATGGATGAATGGATGATAGAGTATATGAAATTTAAACAGTGCGCTGATGTTGTAGTATTACAACAACGGGAATGAATGATAGGGTATATATATATATACATATATATATACATATACATGAAATTTAAACAGTGCGCTGATGTTGTGGTACTAAAACAACGTGAGTGCATGATAGGGTATATAAACTTTAAACAGCGTAGTGATGTTGCTAGTACTGCAACATAATATCAGTGCAGAAGTAGGGCCTACTTTGGAAAAAAGGGATGGTGCGATCTTTGTTATGTGGTTATTGAAATAAGCTAAAAGTGTATCCGTTTACGATTCTCAGCGTGTATGACACATGCGTTTGAGGGTACTTGTTTCAGTGACCTCTGCGTATAAAGGATATATATATATATATATATATATATATATATATATATATATATATATATATATATATATATATATATATATATATATATATGTATAATATAGTAAAAATGATGAATAAGCAAAAAGATTTTGCTAACTTTTGATATTCAGTCGGCAGGGGTGGGGGCGTGGTACATTTTATTTGTAGCGTTCATTGTTTATCATTTTGTGGAGTGGACTCTAGACTACATCACTGCCAGAATCTCTGGCTTTACACAAGAGAACATTAGCTCCATGTTTTGTCCGGCGATTGCATCCTGAATAACAGTAATCCGGGATAGTTATCAACACAACATTCAATTACATATCACACACGTTATCTATTCATACAAGGGTATTATCAAAGCCAAAAAAAAGTAAAGATAATTACAACAATAATCAAAATTTAGAATTTGTTGAATTTTTTTTTAATCATGAAAGATATAAAAATTAAAAATCCGGAGAAAATGAAATGCACTATTTGACCACTCTTCCATCATATAACATGTAAACACATTTTTTTATAGATTTTTTCTACGATCCAACGATCAACAATCAATCATAAGCTAGCGCTCGCCCTTGATAACAGTTTTCAGTTTATTAAAATTGGAACCTCAATATTTTATACCGACCGACTATTTGAAGAGTACTGAGGTTATATATTTGTGTTGCTATTTCGAACAAGTTGTTACAATTAACGTTAAATAGATAAGTGTTCATGTTATATAACACACACAAATATATAACATTTAAATATAACAAAAATAACATTTAGACAGTCGCTGAAGCTTTATAAAGTTATGTATCATCTCCGTAGACAACCACGCCTTATATAAAATAACATTGTTATTACGCTTCTCACTCTTTGATTCTCTCTCTCCCTCTCTCTCTCTCTCTCTCTCTCTCTCTCTCTCACACACACACACACACACACATACAAACACACAAGACACACAAGACACACACATACACATCGAGATGCAATGTGCCATTTTACTAAGGTTTTATTGTAGACGCCTTCTCACACCTAGCGGTAGAGAGCTAGACTGCTAACCCAAATGTCTCGAGTTCGAATCCGGGTTCAAGTCAGTAGACTATCCCTCATTCCAACCAACTCTGATGGGTACCTAACACGTTAGGGAAAGTAAAGGCGGCTGGGCATAGTGTTGACCACACTATCCCTTCATATGCCGAGGTCACAGAAACAGGTAAACTCTACTTCACTTGTGCCATGGACCGTCAGCTTTGAAAAAAGGAGCTTTACTTTTTTAACATTATAGAGAAAATCGCTGACTGCATCTTTATTATTTGAGTTCAAACATAATTTCAGACAGCTGTATCTACTTGTTCTTCCAAATATTCTAAAAACAAAAATTTGGAAAAAAATAAATAAGTTATATAAAAATATAACCCCGCACAACATTACATAACAAAATGATATATCACTCCTATCATTTTGTGTTGTCTTTTATTTATTCTCTACCTAAGAAAATAAAGTCTAGTGTGAAACATCGTGGCTATGAAGACAAACTTGGAAGGATTCCCAAAATCTTACAAAGAAGAAGCCCGTCCGACGCGGCACACTTATTATTTTTTTATTTATTTGGAAATTCAGAAATCTAGGTAGAGCGGGAATTGAGTCCTGGGTGCAGAAGTATGAAAGGTGAAGGACAGATGGCGATATTAGGAGGAGGAGGGTAGCGATGGGCCGGTGCAGAGCAAGAGTAGTAACTCATGAACAGAAATTTCTAGACGGGTTGGCGAGAGAGGGCCCCTTAGACAGTCTTGTAACCCACTCATCTCTAATGGGTGCCAGTCTCTACTTTTGTAGAGGATACACAAAAACATGAACGGGAATTCATGTGCACTCATAAATCATCGGTTCGTATAGGGTACAGGTTCACACGTTTTCGGGTTGGCGAGACATTTTTATAAAAGCCAAGTGACCCGCGACCCACTGATACTATTAAAATAAGCTTTTTAACACTATTAAAAAGGAAATTGTTTTATATCGTGAGTAGAGTTTTGTTCTAGTTTCCCGTACGGCCACCTCATTGGGGGGGAGGGTCGTAACTCATGAACTTTGAACCTGTGATGTAGGGCGTTTTATTTTCTTATTTTATGTTGCCCCGGTGTATATATACGGCAAGCAGAGTAAAAATCGTCCCTGAGTCCACCCAGCTCTTATAGGTACCTAAGTCATGTTTGGGAAGCAAAGGCTGCTGAGTGGTTAGTGCTGACCAAACTATCCAAGTGTATCCCGAGGTCATTGCCATAGATTAACTCTCGTTCGTGTTTTTGAC